AAATACAAAAATTTTATATAATTTTTTTTCCCCCAAAATACCCCCCCCCCCCCCCCCCTTATGACGAAAGTGCGTTGTGACGAAAGTTCCTTTTACCAACTTCTCGTAAAACTCTGAAGTTTTTGCGTAGACGTTGTCCAAGCACGAAAAGTTAAGAGAAAAAAATCTAGATACACTCGCTGGAGTATCGTCTGATTCTCTATCAAAAGTATCTAGACAAAAGAAAAAAATATCGCGCTGGATTGATCGAAGCATTTATGGGACTTGAGCCTGGAACATGAAATGTTGCAAATTTAATTTTTTAAAATGTTTCTGCTGGTGTCGGATCCCTAGCGACCGATCTTCAGACTAGAAAACGTCTTTTAGTATCTTTTATTCTGAAGATCTGGTTGTACAAAAGTAAATCTAGCAGATGACATTTAGAAATTTAAATTTGCTACACTTTCTGTTCCAAACTGAAGCTTTGGAAACACTTGCTTTGGGGTGAAAAATTGAAAATTACCTTTAAAATAGCGGTTTTCTCGGGTTTTTACTATTAAGGAGATATTTTCCAAACCTGAATCTACAAGACGAAATGTAGCAAAGTGAATTTTCTCAATTTTCTCTGCTAGACTCAGCTTTAAATAATTAGAACAGGATACCCGAGAATAGCTCTAAAAAATTAATAATGACTAGGCTGACATTCAGTCGTGTTTCGGGAGATGAAGCAAGTATAATGTTTCAATGATTTTTTCTATTTATTACGGATCTCTGAAGGCAATACAAAGTGCTCTATTCTGCATATTTTAAGACACTATAAAGAACGGCGTTTATTTAAAAATCCAGCGTTTATCCTAGTCTACACTGGAAATTCGAGCCTTCACCATCACCAGTCAAACGACAGACCATCAACGAACTTGCTACGCAATATATATGTCGTGTATTTACAGACACGTAATGTTCAACGAAATTTAATGTATTATCATTCATTATGTGACATCTTTAGCATAAAATAATACCTTGTAAGGCATTATTTTCAAAGTTAAGCAATTTAACACGTTAGCACACGTTAAAAAATTTCTTACTGTATATAAAAGCCACAAATTTTTGGGAAATGGAAGAATTTTAGTGCATTATCATACATTAAAGACTAATCGCCGGTGACCTTGCATTAATCAGAGCGATGACTCATGGCTAACCCATTGTAATGCACGAAATGTGATGATTCACCCCGATGAGTCATCATTCACCGACTTAAAAAAACAGATTTTTGATCTTGGGCGATTTTTGACGCGTTGCCACATATTCATACATTGTCTACGAGCGAATAGAGGTAGCAGTACTAGTAGAATCCGACTTGCTCTAAGTTTTGATATTTTAGAAATTGAGAAAAACTTTTGCTTCAGCCGTTACTCATGATTAGAAATCTACGACGAAAAAATAAGACTGGAAAAATGCGAATTTATGCATACATTGCAGATAAATATCCCATGTATTTAAATTTTGTTTATTTTTTTTAAACTTTTTAGATGGAATCCAGTTCAAGAGAAAGTACTGATGCTCAGTACTTAGCGGACGGACAGTGGTGAGCCAATAGGCTTCCTTCATACAGTTCGCAATGAAGTATAAGGCATTGAACTGTTTAATACATTGTAATCTGTCGAGATTACTGAAGGGATGATAATTTGCTAAAATTATCTAATGATTTACAATACATTAAATATTTCTATAAAGTATCAGACATTAAAAAGGCTAACGAATTGTCATGCATTAGAAGCAGTTAATGTTGTGTAAAACTTTTTTTTGACATTTTGTTATAACCTATTATAACTATTTAACAAATTATAATGCGTTAGCTATACTAATGAATGATAGTGTGTTAGACAAAGTAACGCATTATATCTCATTAAAGAACGTAGTATCCGCATTATTGCTCGTTAACGCTTAGTAATGCATTATAATGTGCTCCAATTTGAGACTTAAAGCGGGTTTGGCGCATGATAATGCATTAAAAAAATGCTTTTCATAAATTAATGACCTTTAATGCATAAATAATGGATTATAACGGCTTAGCATAACAGATCTCGTCTTTAACAAATTATAATGTCCTATTTTTTCATAGATTTTACGTAGTTTTTTATGCTTTCATGCATTATCATGCGTATCATTTTTTAATTTTATTTAATGTGCATTAAAGCCCGAAAATTATCCAATCGGATAGCGTTAAAACGCCTAAACAGTTAATGCATTATAATGCCATAAAATTTATAACGTTATAATGTGTTAATGGCTTGTAACGCATTGCAATGCAATAAATGTATATCGTTGAAACATGTGAAGAACTTCTATAGTCTTACAACGAATTAGAACATGCACAACGCGTTGCAATGCGTTACAGACTAATGCTTTATAATGTAATAGGAATAGTAACGCCTTGTAACTATTACCGCGTTAATCGAATTTATAGCATTATAACATTATAAGAATTTGAGAAAGTCGTTGACAAAAATGCATTGTAACACTATAATTTCAATTTTTGAAACTTAACGCGTTACACTAATGCATTAAAGACATGTTTTTTCTAAATTTATTGCGTTGTAACACAATAAAAAAACTAACACATTACAAGGCATTACGATATGCCTAACGCATTATAATGCAATAAATACGAAAAAAAGATCCTGTGGGAAACAAATACAAATATTATAATATTGATCAGACATGTTCATGCTAACCATGATGATATCATTGGTTTTCGAACACTACAAAGTGTGCTAAACTGAGCAATTTAGCTCTTTATATTATAGAAAACTAGAAATCATATTAGAGAGTAGAGGTAATAGCACACCGCTTCCCAGTCCAGATACGAGAACAGATATTTAAAAGCAGAACAAAGATGATATTTATTGATGTAAAAGAGAACATTATTTTATTGATATCATTTTGTTTCTGTTAACTTCAATCGAACATACTACGCCATATAAACAAAAAAAAGAGAACTAGTCTTACATTAAATGAAAAAGTTCAATCAGTTTTCTGTTTGAAGATGGTATTTTATATAATAGAAGGGATAGTGTGAATAAAAAAACAGTTCAATGGATATCATTTACTATTATTGTTCTTGTGAAAGCACAAAACTAATTTGGTCTGCATAACCATCGACGTATGGGCCAACCTGTTGTATCGAAAATACTTTCAAAACCACATAAACTGTGCCTAGAGGTACGCGTCCCGTCACACTGCTCAACAGCAATGACGAGATATTATTTCGCGCAGCTGCGTTGGGACCTGATAGATATTTGAAAGCAGAGTAATTAGCATTATCATTTGCGTCAACAAACATTATCATCAGCATTGAACTATCCGCTTCAGTGCCATATCCGCCAAGCCAACCAGAGAAATTATATGACAATGTTTGATTAATGATATATGGTGACAAGGAAGGTATACAAATCATCTGATTCATTACTGCTTCAGTAGATCCTTGGCCACCATAAAGATAACGTTGACCACGATCGTCTGGTCCCGGTGATGTATTAGTTAAACCAAGATTACTTCCTACATAAAATAAAACATATCCGAATCTTTCTTTCGATAGTCGCTAACAGACGCAGTCTAATATCCTCAAAGAACTTTTTCAACTATACAAATCGCCTTTTATCCCCTTGAACTTTTACTATTACATTTAAAATTAGAATGATTTTTTATTTTATCCACACATGTAAGAATTACTAGGATTTAGGATTTTCTGCTATGGCCAACGAAAACTAACTCTGACCTGCTGGAGAATAGTCAAGTGCTGTCATTCTACCAGATACAATTCGCTAGTTAGGTACATATGTTGCAGTTGTCCCATAAGGCGATGGAGTTGGACCTGTAGATAAAAGAACAGAAATAATGACAACCGGAAAGTAATTTTTCTATATATAAGTTACACCTTGTTCAAAACCACCATTGGTCGCAATATTACGATTAAATGGACTATCAAAATATTCTAATGCAAGTTCAATATTATCCAAACTACCGTAATTGTAAGTGTCATTGTTAGTGGTGGATTTCAATACTGTTGCTCTTAATAGTAAACCTCTTGTACCAGTCGGTATGAAACCATGAGCAAAATCTGCAAAACTAGTGAGATTTAAGTTGTTTTCATTCAAATATGGCTCTCCGATGACTATAAAAATATAACAGAAAAACAAATAGTTACTGAGTACTTTATTGTTTACTACCTAAGATTGATGAATAAAATTACTTTACATTGGCAAGAGAAAAACGTCCCGATCTTCCGACTGGATTTTAAGACGAGCATCAAGTCAGTCATAGTTCCCATCCGTCAACTTTCCAAACAGTGTGTTAAGTTTAAGGCTCCTCCTCCCTGTATCCATCACGTAGATTCTAACATAAATAAGTAGTTGGATAGCTCAACATCTCTACTTCTCAAACCACTCATTTTTTTTTCCTTGAACAGCGACTTTTCATGCTTTTACAAACTTTACGAGACGTTTTGATTAAAAAGAACTTTTTCCTTTTATTTTCAAATATACAATAATACATGTTTATGCACATCTTCACCACCCATGTAGAAATTGCAAAAGTTTTCTTGCGTGATTACGCAAAAAAAAGTGCAAAAACATAAGTGGTGTAACACAAAAGATGGTTTCAAGTGCAAAATTCTGCAAAATTTGCATACTTTTCTAAAACTATTTACAAAAGTGTGTATTAGTCGAATTAATATAGACTTTTGTAAACATTTTGCTGTAGAAGATAATGCAGAATTTGTAGTATGCCGCTTATGTAACTATTTCTTGCGTTACACCACTTACATGTTTGCATTTTTTTTTGTGTTATTCACTTGATTAACGCAAAAAACCTTGTGTTGCGTTTTTGTTGAACCTGGTTTTCCACTTCGGTGCTATGGGTACTATTACACAGTTTCCGTTCGAAAAAATCTTAGAAAGTGCGAAATCCTTTCATTCTCAGTACAATACTTGGAATTAAAAATTGTCAGAAAGCTTGATCTTTTATCCTAAGTTCAGTACCCAAAATGATTCATGGAGGATGCTAAATTGTTTTTTGGCATCATTTACTTCAGGGATTTGGCCCGGCCCGGTTTGATGATGAAAGTTTCCGGACCAAGTCCGGCTCGGCCCGACTAAACGTAGAATTTATTTGGCGAGGCCCGACCACTTTGCGTTTTTTCCCCTTGTATCTGTAATGCTTCTGCTGGCTATGCGGTGTAGATGTATTTCTCAAGCTAATATTTATATTTTTATGATTTCTCGGTACTGAGTATACACATAAATTACAAATCCACGCATGCCTAAAAATTTCAAGTTCGGCTCGGTCCTCCTGCCCGACCAAAATACTTTGCGGCCCAAGCACGGTCCGACCACTCTATAAAACTTCCTGTCCTGGCCCAGCCCGGCCCGAGCTGATCTCGGATTTACTTTTAGTGACTGCAAAAGACTTCAAGAAAAAATTTCAGATCGAATGCTGCGGATCTATCGCTCCATGTCTTAGTTGTAAAATGAACCATAATGAGGTCTGTGCGTCTTTCTGGATGGTTCCAGTGGGTTGGATAGAAACGAACATATCTATGACGTTACAAGGAGTTTGAGTTTTTTCATACCATATTCGAGTAGCTGTTACATACTTAAAGAAGAGTCTGGTGTTAAATTGATTCTATTTCCATTACTATCAAAAAATTTGATGTCAACAGATGGGTTATCTTTGTTAGTAAGATATCCGCCAGACCTAAATAATAGAAGAAAATCGAAATTATTTAGTATTATCGACCAAAAAATATTGAAAGATTCCAGCGGGCCTTCGCACAGTGGGCAATTTAGACTAGGCACGTGGACATGTGCCGTAAAAGTGATACGAAAGCCTCTAAATACTATTTTTATAGGTTTTCGTATGTACTCTTTCCAATAGTGTGATTCACAAAGTTCAAAAACACTTTTAGTCGGATTCACTAGAGACCGAATCTTTAGAAAACCTTGATGAAAACATGTCTGAACCTGTAAAAACCACACCACCGGAAAGAACGCATACGCAAACCTATAAAATAGTGTTTACAGTGTGAGGTTATTCCTTTCAGAATCGTTCTGCATCCAATGGTTAATAGCCAAAGAAGAATGTAACTGTTACACACACTTTATTTCAGTAAATTAACATCTATATATAGTATATTTTAGCTACAGGAAGATCCCTTTGGGAAACT